ACGAATCTTTTTATTAAATAAAAATATATTGCTAAGTAGTTAACTACAGATCAAAGAGATTAAAATATTCTGTAAACATACTTAAAGCAATTTAACGCCATTTTTTTGTATTTGGGCAGAAAAGTAGGCTTTTAAACTAACATAATAAACTCTATGCTTTAATGTAGTGTGTTAGTTAAACAATTTACTAGTTTTTATAATCAAATAACAAATATAATGTATCCAAACAGTGAACGCTATAAACGCTCAAAAGTGATCGCAGCAACTTTCCGTGAAATTAGTGAAAACCATAATTTTCTAACCACCGGATAAGGACTTATACATGTTATTTCAGTTCATGTAGATCCGTTTGTGGTTCACTTATAGTCCTCTATCAAAACAACAATGCAAAGCCTTTAAATAATAAATCTTACCCAATAATGTCGTAAACTCGACACTTGTATAGTAGTTGGTAGTGGGTAATTCCAGCGGTCGGTCTGGCTTATTTTGTACTTGTCGATAGTTTAGCCTAATCCTTTGTTTTTATAGCAGAGGTGTAAAGAAAACACATTTAATTTTGTTAAAAATATGAGAAAATTTAAATTATTTTGGTTGAGAATATCTACTTTTATATCCTTAAATGCTACATCGAAGATTGCAAGTGAGGTAAAGTTTAGAAAATAAATAAATCATATGGAACCGGTGGAAAAAAGAAACTTCCTTTAATTTTATATATCTTATGTTAAGATAATAAATTAAATCAAAATTTTATAATAAATATTTTTGGTAATTGTTTGTATAATCAGAGTAAATATTGACTGCAGTAAGTATAGTATATTGAATGGTTTCTATCGTACAGTTAAATTTAAAAACACTTTTAGTTCTTCGTTAGATCTCTTTGCATTCGATTATTTAGAGGAAGTGGCTGATAGATTCTAGCTCCTCTTTATATTGGCAACTGCTGCATAATCTGCATGTTGGAACTCCAGTAAACACACGAACTGCAGGTTTACTGAAGCCTAAAAGGCTTTTCGTTTTATTTTTGTCTAACCTAGGCCATACGGTTCTAGCGATCTCACAGTATTCGCGGAATACTGTGAGTAATTATGGAATTACTCACAGTAATTCCATAAATTGTTTGTCACCGTATTGGTGATTTCCTCTATTATCCTAAACAGTACACATATTCAGGAGAGGCCGCTCTCCTGAATGCAGTTCAGAACTTCTTTTGCCCATCTCATCTGCTAGGTCATTCCCTTCAATATTGTTATACCCAGGAACCTAGCAAAGAGAGACCTTGTGATGTTTGATGCTCATCAGTGAAGTGCGACATTTTAATACAATCTTGGATTTAACTGTTTTAGATTCAATTGATTTCAGTGCGGCCGGACTATCTACAAAAAAATCGTGATATTCGAGGGACGAATAGTACTTTGTTTTTAGTTCTTACAGTGATTTTGTTTGATTTTTTAGTGAAGGACTCTTTTTATTAAGGCTCAGTTAGTCGGTACATACCGTAAGAACTTAAATCAAAGCGAAATGCACAATCAACCTAACTGTGTATCTAATAATAAATAAACAGTAGTGGCGACTTAAGTTCTTACGGTATGTATCGATTAACTAAGTCTTTACCCATTTAAAAATTTAGATGGTTAACACATAATATAATATTCTATAATATTCTTTGACACAAGTTTATAGATCTTTTTATAATCAATGTAAACCAGATGTTAGTACCGCATTCATCAGACAAGAATCGCAAGGTATGATTAGAGATTACAGGGTCTTCTCATAAAACTCTTTTCAGTATCAATACGCACACAATAATTCGTATTTAGTTTAAAATATTTTATATAACACAACTATTAAATTATTTTTATTTAAATTATAGTTCTCATTAAGTTTAGAACACAATTGCTATATAAACAGTCTAGTAAATCGACGTAATGTGTTTGGATTTCAGCTTTTGATACACTTTTTTAAAAGAATGTAGTTGGGTTATTATAACTCTTTATCTCGCATATAACTTTTTTAAATTATGTGTTGGACTATAATTGTGTGTTGTTCATATTAAGAATAGGTCGCCCTATAAATTGTTTTAGATCTTAATTTACTGAAGTGATGAAGTCATCCGTTGAAAAGATTGTATTCTGTATGAATTGTACTTAATTAAATTTATAATAATTAAAAGCACGATGGGTGGATTTTCACTTCATTTTAGTGAAGACAACTATTTTAAACAATCGGGTGTGTTAATATAGCTTTGGTTTCCATATATTGGTCTTTAAAGTTGTGAATTTTTAGATTAAATATCTAGTAACTAGTAGATGCGCATTGTCTGTTTGCAGCAATTTGATAAAATAAATTCCGGTTTCAAATAGACGACCTTTCCGTACTCATTTTACCCAATCAACCTTTCTGTCATATTTTATTAATTTTAAAGTATTCGGAGTTGATCTTCGTTTCTCTGATTTCACCTCTAAGGTCTGGAACTTACTCTTCGCATAAGCTATTTTTATTTTATGTTGATAGTGTAAACGATTTCGGGAAATCCATATTTTCAAAGATCACAAACAATGGATATTTGGCAGTAACCAAAACAGAATTTCATTTGTTTAAAATTGAATGTTTCGATACGAAAATTATATTTTATATTATAATATATATATAGGATATTAAAATTACAATTACTTGTATTATTTTTTTTTGTTTAACAAAATCTGTTAATTAATTCTATTAAACTATATTCATTAATTTTGTCGTCAAATAAGTTTTTAATGGAATATTTTGATAAAAATATTTTCTAAAAACAAAACGCGTATATCAAAATATCTATTGCTAAGATCAATTTCTATAAACTTAGTAATATCTGCAACTGATTCCAACAGAGTTTCAGACGAGCTCGGTGACTTAGTAACTCGGTAACACCATAATATTTTATATTTGTTTTTGTGAAATTAGAAATCATCATATTTGTTATTTTTTTGGATATCCGATAAAACATTAGCTTAAAATATACTATATTTTACTCCCTAAGTACTGGACAGCGATTTCAGTCGTATTCTATTACAGGGTGATAAGCTTGGTCTTATTAATGTGAGGTGTTGTATAAAACTAAAATTTAGTTTAAAACTTGATTGGATTGAAATAATAATTAATAAACAAATATTGATAAAAATATAGAATTAAATAAAAGAATAAGTTTTATTTTTTTTAAATTTTTTCTTTCAGTTTTCTTGCTGCCGTATACTGAGTTACCGAGTAATGTCTAAATACAGGTACTTTTATATATTTATATATTTAATTTAACGAAAATCAATGTATCTGTTTAGTGTAATAACCAATAGTTTATAAATTCGAAGTGAACTAGTCTAAGGTTTTCAGCTTTGCTTGATGAAACATGAGTTTTGATTTTTTTTAAACACGAGTTTAGATACTAACTCTAAGCACTTTTATACAATACTGTCTGTGACTTCTTGGGTGATCGACTAATATGAGAGCTTCTTTAAACTATGACAATAAATGAATTTACAGAAGTATAGTTTGAAACTCAGCTTACAAATATTCTTCATCCGGAATATATATAGCATTGAATTTAAGGGACTGGAATTCTAAATTAGTGTGTGCGCATCCATAGTATCAAATAATTTTAAGAGGTAATATAAAGTATAGTTCATTGCTGGGAAAAACCTATTTAAAAAATCAAATCATGCCATTATCTTTCTGTTTGATCTCTTTGATTTTATCTTAATGATTCATTATAATTTACAAGACCGAATTCAATGTTTCTGATAAGTATGCAATATGTTTGCATTCATGAAAGGATAATGAAAATTTAACCAATTATATACAGAAAAAAAATCATCAATTGATATAAAGAAGAGAAAATATATGCAAGGTGACAATGCTAATAAAATGAAAAAATCAAATAAATAAAGAAAAAATCTCATGAAAGCAAATATGGAAAATGAAAACTTTATAATGGCGTTGTGCAAAGGATAATAAGGATACTTAAATGAAATCTACCTGATGTTTTTATTTTGATTTGTTTTCGAAGACACCAAAGAAAAAAAACAAATAATACCACGTGATGATTCTGAATTTACTGGAGAACAGTCGAGGAGAAAAACTGAAAATTATTTTTCTCAATTAATGGGAAAAATTGAGAAAATTAATAAAATTAAATGTGGAGCAGAGTTGACCTATGCGCAAAAGCAAACAATCAGTGCTTAGGGGTAAGAGTTGGCTAAATACATTGATAACATATATGGCTTATCACTGAGTGATAAAAATAATCATTATAATGAAAAACAATTGAACAATTTATTACTCTCAGTGTGCATGTGTAAGGCAATTTGCAGTAATGTATGTGTATGTGTTTGTGTGATGAGAGTTCGTCACTCTTCCCAGAGGAATAATATTGTGTGTACATGAATTGCGGTGTTTAACAGCAACACCCCTAAATGTATATACGTCAAAAGGCTACCTGTAAACCCATTTTATCATTTGACTGTCGGAAAAACAAAAAAAAAAAAGAAAACAACCTACCCCTCGGCGTTAAGGAGTGAATGAGAAGGCCTACATTTCACAGTATGCAATAGCGAGGCAAGGACATTACACCGATGGCAGTAGTTCAGATTTGACTTACTCCATTTCATTCAGACACTTGCTGGCGAACTGTCAACATCGTATTAATACAAAGGATTTTACTATTTTATGTTCAGTCGGTGGTTGTTGGCCGTAACGTGCATAGCCAAATTAATGAAATAATAAATTTAATTTTATTTTATAGTTTCAATAATTAAAAACAAATTTCTATAATTAACAATAACAATTATCACATTAAAAAAAAGTGCAATTAAGTAAAGAATTGAATATAAAGTGTTTAAAGTTATAGAAGAAAATTTGTTAAAAACCAAATGGCTCAATTTAATTAATATTTAACATAATTTGTGATTGAAAGCTTTGAAGATAATAAAGAATTTATTACTTTAAGTTTTAAAACTGTGTATAATATATATATATAATATAAAAACGTGCTATAATGATGACTACTACAACTTCACATCCGATCTTAGCGCCTGTCATGCGGCCAGTACAAGACAGTGCGGTTTCAAGACCTCGCGCTGTTTATAGCATCGATCAAATTCTAGGGAATCAAACTAAGAAAAATGGTAAGTTCAATTGAATTTTTTTATTTATATATATAAAAATAAATTTATTCATTATTTTTTATTTTTAAAATCGGTTAATTGGTAAATTGTTCAAATAATACAATTTTTATTTAATTTTAAAAATTATATTTTATTTTTACCAATATTTCGACATCTATATACATCTGTATTAATTATTAACAATTGATCAATTAGCGCATTTGAAAAATGAAAGCAATAAATAATAATAATTTTTGGTCAATAAATCAATGACTTATAACAATGAATTTATAAAGATTAATAGAGATATTATGAACCATGAATTATTTATATATTATATATTTATAAATAAAATTTGCGAAAATTTTTCTTAACTAAGGAAAATATATAGTTTTGCTATACTTTGTTTCACAAATAACTATACTAGACTTTGCTATTTTCATATTTTCTATATCATATCTTTATTTTATATTAACTTTATTAATTATCAATAATTATTAATATTATTAATTATTTATATTAACATTATTAATTATTAACATTAATTAACATTAACAGCAATATTATTAATTTTTTATTTTATTACCTGATCTTTATATCTTTATTTATATAATATATTTTTATTAAATATTATATATCGTAATTTAAATATATTCGCAATGTTTTCATTGTATATATTTTCAAACGGACTTATTGGACAATATTAAAAAATTTAGAACTTTAGTTAATAAATATTAAAAAATACAAAGATCAGTTATAAAAAAGTATATTATTGTTCCCCATATTTCAACTATAACCTACAGTCAGCTCTAGGGTACGGGTATTATACAAACTTTTTTTAATGAATCAACAAATTCGATTTATGAATTAAATTTATAGACTATAGTCTAAATATCGGTGACCGTAAAATATATTTTTTAAAATTAATTTAAAAAGTTGCGTATTTTTTTAATATTGATTATTTAGCCTATATAAAAATATAGAAATAATCCCTTTATTTCATATATATAAACTGTATAGTATAATTTATTCAATAATTAGTAAAAATATTACGGTTTAAGTTTTTATATAAAGCTTTTTTCCAGTTTTAATACAAAGGTTAAATTTTAAAGGTTATAATTTATAATATTAATCACTTTCATAATTTAATATTTTTATATTTGAATATAGTATCTTGAAAATTATTAGTTGATTAGTGATATATTATTATATTAATATATATTCATTAATTAATATTTAATGTGTGTAAATGACTTAAAAGATCAGAAAAATTATTAAAAATTTAAATTTTAAATTAATAATTTGTTCAAAATTATGTAAATATAAAAAAAATATTTACATTTTTGCTTAATACTAACTAATACTAATTAAGGAAAAAATATCTTAAATATTTTTTGACTGAGAATTATGTGCTCACTTTTATGTTATGTGAGAAGAAATCAATTTTAAATAGAAAAGGGGGTAATACTAAGGAAAACTATTAATCCCAGCAATCTTTTAATTTTTGTTGAAGTGATTTTATAGGTGGATCATGTAGCTATTTTGGATACCGTCAAATATCCATCAAGAGAGGTCTTCAAAAACCTTTTCAAAAAGTCTTTACTTAGTTATTATTGTTGTCTAGAAAAATTTTGCTTTTTATGGGTAGTCAAGTAAACATTAATTAACGTTTAACACTTTCACTTAAACATTTTCAGCTAAAAATTAATAATTTTTTATTATGTTAATATATAAGAAATAAATATTTCTAACCTATAATTGTTTAATTTAATTTTATATATATATATATATATATTTTAGATATATATATTTATAAATACAGTTTAGTTAATATTACCATAATATGTAGTAATTTAAAAATATTCTTTTGTCTTAGAAAATTTCGTTAAATTTCTTAGATTAGTAATAATTGGTAATAAATTGATACGGGTAACTCTAAAGTTCTTAAAGAAATTCATATATTTCAGAGATCCTGGTACCTTACACTACAAAAAATTAATCTATTATATGACAATTCTAAATTTTAAAAGAAATTTGTTTAATTTGACTCAAGTGCAGATTTTTTAATTACTTAATTCAAATACACTATTATTAAATTATAATAAACACTATATGCGCTATATATTTAAATTACTATAAACATATCTATAATATTACTACATTAATTTCTTCAGATTTCTAGAAAATTGTTTCAATACATATTAACAAATTTTTTCAGATCTTTAGAGAGGTGCGTTAATATGTACCTTTATATACATATTGAATGTCGGTTAAAAGGTTAAATTATCTAAGCAACGTTGAGGATTATTAGATAGTCAATGATACTCGATATAGTTAAAAGTCTGTGTAGTGTTTTATAACCGACATATTTGGGAACTTAAAGTGTATGGGAAGTTTGTTTTTGAAACATAATCTCTAAGCATTTTTTAAAGATATTTGTGAACCCTGTTTTTCTACCAAATGTTAGTGTGATTTGAATCTAGTACTTGTGTAGTGTAGTTTTATACAAGTTAGCTATAAAACTAGCAATTAATTTTTATAAGGACTATAAACCGTTTTGGCATCGATTTGGATATATGAAAAATAGTTATGTGGCGCAGCTAGAAACTGCAATGTAGTTTTGTAAATCAAAACTGTTAGGTATGTGGGTCGTCTGTTATGTGACTAATAATTGTATCTATATGGATTCTTTTTCTTGGTTTTAGTTCCTTTATTCAATTATTCAATATGATTATTAAATTTTTCAACACGATTTTAAAGTGTTATTTTACTCGTAAGTCGATATATTTCAACCAATCGTACGACTTATATATCGACTAAGCAACCGGCTACCGTATCGACTACTACTTGTTTGATTTTGATACTACTATAGTTGTTTTTGGGTTTATCTCAGTGATCTATACCCAAAGCAGATTTATATTATTCTACTCTAAGTTTTTTTATATGTACGTAATCGAATGTATCAGATTTATCTCGTTGGTGAATCTCCATACGCCCTGTTATGTATTAATAACATATACCAGCAGAACTTTCCTCCTAATCTTAAATAAATATTAAATATTATTATAAATATAAACCCCTTTATATTTAATATATTTTTTTCATTGAAGTGTTTTTATTTGAAGTTAGAGTTAGTTTAAAATCACCTCCCCTGTTCAATAAGTCTCTACATATGAGCTGTTACGTATTTATAGAAAAATTCTTCTTCACTCACATTTTTCCTCTCAGAGGTTTTAATACATATATTTTTGCTTTAATGCTCTGTGGTCTAAAAATCTATTGCACTTCTTTTATTGATTTAAAATATTTTCTAATTCGATTAATACATATATTTTTGCTTTAATGCTCTGTGGTCTAAAAATCTATTGCACTTCTTTTATTGATTTAAAATATTTTCTAATTCGATTTTCTCGATTAATTGTATTATAGAACCGACTTTTTTTGGCAATATATATATGTATATGAATATATATATTATATATACGAACAGATAAATATAATATATTTGTCTGATATACAACTACTACTATTATTAGAGGTAATTTTATCATTTAGAGTTGAAAAAAACAGCATTAAGTCTGGTTGAAACAAATTGGCATCACTTTTAAAATATGTGCAATTTTTGTTTTTAAACATATGTTTTTTGTTATATTGTGTACAATATAAAATATAAAAATTGCACTTTAAAAATTAATTAATTTAAATAAAGAAAAATAAAATGATTATTAGAAGGGCAAAGACAGCATTTTTATCTCACATATTTATATTAATTTATTTATTTATGTATTTGAACTTATTAGTAAATGAAATGCTTTTGAATATGGCCACACTAAAGTTTAAGACCTAAAATTTTTTATGAGTAGACTCTAATTGTGAAAGCATTGTTGTTGCTTCATATATTTTCCCTCATAAGTTCCGAGCATTTTTTTGCTACTCTGAAAAAAAAGTACAGCTACTGTCAGTTTAGATTTTAGATAAAATTCTATAATTTTTTTTAAGTGCTATACGAATTTCTTAGAATTAATAATAAGTATACGAACGTATATAATCTCATAGAAATTATTACTTATTTCCAATTAGTTATATTAAGTCATTATTATTTAGTAAGACTGAAAATATTAATAGTGGTGTATTAATCCAAAACAATTTTTAGGCATTTAAATTAGTTTCATCCAAATTTAATTAAAATTTAATTAATATTAAATAAATAATTGATTTTACATTTATTATCAAATGTTTTGTATACATATATAATAAATTTTTTTAATATTGCATATACACATAAATAAATCTAAGTTCATTGAAATTTTGTAATTTCTTCCAATTAGTTGTATTAAATCAATATTAAATTATTTTATATCATTTTCAATATCTAAAACTAATATTTTTCATTATATATTCACATATAAGTAAACTCATAGAAATTACTAATTACTTCCAATTAGTTATATTAAATCAATATTAAATTAGTTATTCATTTCATATCTATCCAATATTTACTTTTATATATTAAAAATTTTTAATAGCCTTCATTATTCTAAATACTTAACGGCTTTATTTGCTTTATATATAATAAAAATATTTATTATACACATATTTTAATAAAAATAATATAGAATTATTAGATAAAATAAAGTTACACATATATGCATTATATATATGAAAAAAATATGTATTAAAATTGTTTATATTGAACAAATTTAATTACTTTGATGTTTTTATAAAATTCATGAATACTCGGTTCAATATTTTTTGAACTCAGCAAACTCTTGTGTGTCCATGGAACAAATCCGTAACTTATTCCATCTCAATGTCCCTAATAGCGCTCAATCTAATAACAATAAAATTATCACACTCAACAAAACCGCAGAGTGTGCAAATATTTTAGCACCTTTGAGCCAGCCAGAGTTTTCAATAAATATTCATGCATTTACGTTTACGGTAACCATAACATCAAATAATATCACAGGGATACACGTATCATGCAGTATGGAAATTAAAATGAAAATTGTATCCATATGAGCATAGAAAGGTCAACAAGTAGGTGGATGGAGTGAGTGAGGCTCAATTTATGCAAATTGTGTGGCAATTTAGTTTGAAGTCAGTGTGAACATGGAATTATGATACTAGCACGTGCTTTTATGCATATGCATATCACAAGCATACTCGTATCTGAAAGGCATCACAAGGCCTTTCACAAGGCACATATATAGTCATATTAAACTAGTTAATGAAAATTGAATATCATTCAGTTTGAATGGCATTACATAGCCATTGAATAGTGCCACAAAGAGTATAGAATTTGATTAAAATTGAAAAGGGTTTTTAGTGAGAAAAGTTGTTCTTAAATAAAAACTTTTTTATTCATTTAAAAATTAAAAAAAAATATAATATATAAATATTATAATCACGCTGAACAAACGATTCACATGGCTTAAACATGTTCAACTGTAAAGAATTAGCTGTGCCAAAATTCTTCATCACCTCCAACCGCTATTCAGAAATGAAAATATCAATGCTAAAAACAGGAAACTGCTATATATAACCAAATAATTCGTCCGTCACTTCTATTTGGTAGTGTAGCATTTAACAAAACTTCAAACACTACTATTCGCCAGCTAGAAATTGCACAAAGTCAGGCTCTGAGAAGATTTTTCAAAGTTGCATGGTACATTAGAATGAATGACATTCTCAGGGACATCCAGATTGATCCCATCAAAAAATACATAAAGGATGGAGCCCTGAAATTATTTGCGAAAACTGACAGACCGCGTTATCAAATGGTTACAGTCTCCTCGGGGAGGTCTGCAGATCTGAGGTCAATTATTACTTAGTCTGATGAAGTGATAAATAATAATCTAGTCAAGTTGTAAAGAGGGGTTTTGAAAATACCTCTAGTAAAGAAAGAGTAAAAGTGCGTAAGTGCACTGTCTCAAAACAGCTTCAACATAATAATTATAATAATGTGTAGACATATTATCTACGAGCATAGAAAATGTGTGTGTTCGAGCACATGTGCTGTTTCATTCTTCCTGCTGAGTAGTTAACCCTGAGTAGTTATAATTAGTATTGAGCACGGATACATGGCTCGAGGCGTTGTTTGCAAAACAATATTATAATAAATAGGCTCAATTTCATTTGGAAAAATATAATTTGAAATAAAATAAAATATATTTTTCAATGGTAAGTACATTTCGACATTTGCACCCATAGCTTGAAAAAATGTGACAACTTGACAATTATGATTGGTTGCCAGTCTTGCCAGCTTGAACTGAAAATAAACATTAAATCGTATAAAAGCACCACAGGATACCATCCTCGTGGATGCAATGCAGTGATATTACCATTTTTAACAAAAACGATATTATTACGAAATGATATCATTGCTACTTAATTAGAGTTTAAGTAAACTTACAACGATTTTGTCACTTTCCGCTCAAATCATACATTCATACAATCATTTACAGACTCACAGATTTACGGATTTATAGAGATTGCTTTCACGGTTAGGTGTGCTATGTGTGTGTGTGATAAGTAATTTGATGATCTGAAAATTTAGAATAACAAGAGTAGTGATATATATATATGTGATATATATTTATATATATGTATATGATTATTACAACCTTTCTATACTAACTGATTGAAAAGTTTTTCTAAATGAAAAAATAATTTTATTTAAATTTTTTTTCTAATTTTTTTCTAAATTCTCTTTTGAACTATATGATATCCTGCTGAGTTAACGTAGTTCGACAAGGACGTGTTCTTGCTTTGTGAAGCTGCTTAATTTGAGGCTCATTAAATTTTGATTATATGTTTGGTGCTTTTACGTTGTGAAGAATTTTATTAAATATTTATGAATGCAACGTATGCCTGATAGTCCTTCGTATGTGATTTCATAAAGGATACAAAATTAATTTTCAATTTCTTTTGTAAAAATTATAATAAAATTGAGAAGTGCGTAAGCAATAAGTGAGAGTGTGAATGAAAGCCAGGATTTGGATTCAATTGATTTGCCATAAACAAATTCATTTAATTTTAGATATGAAAATGTGCAGATGCAATCATTTGAAAATTTTATTAGATTTTAATTACAAATTGTTGTATCAGATATCATGTTAAAAATTTTAAATCTCTTTCTGTGCTTTCTACACATTTAATGTGTAAAGGATATACTAGATTTGTCAAGATAAATATATAATTTTAAGCAGTCTTTAAAAGAAGTTGTAGATATAGCAAAGAGGAAGAGTAGGTAGCGTAGAAACTGTTCCAAAACAGTTGGGTCAATAGGTAACGGACTCTACTAATGACTTTCTCCCTTACACATTACTAAATTAGTATTTAATTACTTAAATTAGTAACAAAAAATTGTAATTTTATTAGAAACAACTCAATAACATAACTTAGTAACTACATAATATTAAATAGCGAATTAAGACTCCGTAAGAGAGGAGAAGTACTACTATTCATTCAGAAAGTAGGGCTGAGAGTGTTCTGGAATTGTAAATTTATTATGAACTACTTAAAAAGAACCTAGCTAACTAAATAAATAACACCCAATGATGAAATAAGACTACATAAAAGAAGATAAATACTAGGTTAGGTTAGGTTAGGTTATACAGGTGATCCCTAGTGGATCCACTTAGGCCTATTGGCCCATTATGATGCCGTATATAAATAATAAAAAAAAAAAACCTCAGGGTTTAAAACAACCTAGAACCTTTTGCGAAGTATAAAATGCTATTTAAAGCCCGGTAGATAAATATTAGAATTCATAAAGAAAATATAGGTCTCTGTCATGAGGAGAAGGAAACTTCAGAACATATTCTAAGCAATTGCCAAGCGTCGGCAAGACGTAGACTTGACTACACTGGAAGCGGGATCTTGTTCCCACAGCAATTACGAGATTTATATATAGTCTGTAATTGTTTTAGTAGGACTTTTAGGCGCATAATAAAACTTTTAGGTCGGGGTGTATTCATAGCCTATTATTTAATAATAATAGTGAATTGTCTATAATTTCGTGTGAGCAATATCTAATGTAAAAGAAATTACTACTAATATTTCTACTTGTTTTAATAACAAATTTCTATATAGATTGACACAAATACTTTAAATATTTTGGCATAAGTAATTGTTCATAGCGACAATTATTGGTTTATGTTGTTTTATTCGATTTTTGGTAAAAAATGGGTTACGTTACTTTATTACGATCATCTTGGTTCACTCTTTTGATATATAAACTCGATAAATTTAAAACCTCGATAAATTGTATCTTGAATAATGTTTAAGTTGCACTTTAAGAATAAGTTCCCCCGCTGACTCTTTATAAATTCAGTTATTATGATGATCTTAGTTTACTCTGTTGATATACAAATTCGAAAAATTTAGACCCATTTGTAACTTAAATAAAGTTCAAGATGTAGTTTAAGAGCAAGTTCCTCCGTTGACTAGCACTGCTTACAAATTTAGTTGTTATGATTATCTAAGTTTACACTGTTACAGTATAAGCTCGAAAAACTTGTGTGCTTTAAGAGCAAGTTCCCCTGCTGTATAACACTCTTCACGAATTTAGTAATTATTTTGATCTTACTTTTCTCTGTTACAGTATAAACTTGAAAAACTTAGAAACGTTTTGTAACTTGAAAAAATTTCAAATGTTCTTTAAGAGAAAGTTCCCTCACTGACTAACACTCTTTACAAAAGAAGTCAATGTGAAGATCTTAATTTACTTCAGTATAAACTGGAAGAACTTCTAATCATTTAACATGTTTTTCTAAAGGAAGTTCTGCAGCTAAATGTCTCGAATATCTTATATATACTAACAAAGCAGATGTAAGTAACCTTCCTTGTCTTCCTTACAACTGCGTTGAGTATTATTAAAAAAAATTTTTTAATATCGCATTATAATTTCCTAACTGAAAGTGGCATGACACTAAAAGACTAATAATTTACGGGTCATCTCAATGGCCCCCGTAGTTTTCTACATATTTAATGAAAATAAGTAATTCGTGAAAATTAGTATCTAATAACTATATGTTTATAAGAAGTTAAAATTATTTTAAAATATATTTTATACAGTTTTGAATATATTTTATTTCTGATTTGTAAAAAATTATAAAAAATGGAGTAAGTAGACATTAAATTTAGAAATCCCTAAAATATTTTTTTTGACTTTTTCTGATGACTGTGAACTCAAGACAAAAGAGTAAAAAAAGGAATATATTAAGTGCATTAAAAGCGGCTTTCAAACAAATTTCAATTTGATTCGCGCCCATTTTATTCAGGATATTTGCACTCGAAACTCATTTTCAAATGTGCAAACACATAAACAGTCAGCAGCAGAGACACACTCGCATGCATACTAACGAATGCAGGCATACACAGTTCCATACAAATTCACAGACACATGCACTTATCGAAATCCTTCAATGAACTCTTGACTGAACTTTTTCTTTTAAATCAAATTCAATTCAATTCAATTGAGTTCAATTGAAATGAATTGAATTTGCAATTTTTTACCCATTTATTGTTTACTCACTTACTTATATTCTTCGCAGTGTTTACAATAAAATTTCATTATTGATTTTGTATTTTGCACCGGTAAATATTGCTAAATTTGCTGAATTATAGAGAAAAAGGCGCACTTATCGAACATATTTACAGCCTCCGAAAATGGAATCATATTTATATATACAACTGCATTATGTGTAAATAAAACAATTGTGCTTAGACATTTTGAAAGTAGTAGTCCTTAGTAGTGAATTATAAACGGAAAAGGGGGAATAACATATTGAACACGAAGTACACACCGAATCCAGTGTCAATATATGAAATATCTATATAAATATTTACTAATACCATTCTCATTATTAGAAACGTCTTCTATGGTATACGATTTTTATTAATAAAAACACAATTTCCTTTCACAGATGCAACTGATATGCTCAACAATCATCACCACCACCATCACCATCATCATCTTATGCATGCGAATAACAATAATAATAATACAAATCATAATAACAATAATAATGGTCTACTGCATCATCATAATCATCAATTGCAACATCGTGAAGATTCGCCCACCAATACCGATAACGGACTAGATGTCGATAACGACGATGAGCTCTCTAATAGTCTCAATAATGGTCATGATCTTGGCGATATGGAACGGCCGCGTAAAGTAAGAAGGTAAAAAATTTATTTTTTTTTACATTTTTTTTAGTATTAAACAATCATGAAATCAAAAGGCATTAAAGTTACAAATCCGCTTATATATTTTAAAAAGTTACTACAATCGTATTAAGAATCTGCGCTTCTTTGTGCTTTTGTCCTCTTCAACAAATAATACTGAGTTCTTTTCATTTTTTACAGATCACGCACAACCTTCACAACATTTCAATTACATCAATTGGAGCGCGCCTTTGAGAAGACACAATATCCCGACGTTTTCACAAGGGAGGATCTGGCGATGCGTTTGGATTTAAGTGAAGCACGTGTGCAGGTAATTTTATTTTATTTTTATTCCAGACTTAATCAGTTCTTATTAAACATCCTTGTTAAGTAGTAGAGATTAATTAATTATTGTTATTATTACTAAATGGGTTAGATTGTGAACGTTAACTAATTTTGCTTAGGGGTAGTTAGATCTACAATAACAATGAAACAGCAATATATTTATTGTGAATTATGATTTTATAATAAAATCTATGAATTTTAGATACTTGATTTAATTTTAGGAAACCCGATTTTAAAATTTTATACTTAAGCAATATATTTTCTAGACTAAATTGATTATGCCGATTATATGAATCTCTTCAGATATCATGCTTACTCAGAGATATTCATCGAAATTATATTCAATTATGATTTATAATATTAGCTATAAATCATTTATTTATAATATAAATTTGATTTTTAATATGAATATAAATAATTTTAAATAATATAATATATAATATGATAATATATATAACATAATATTATTTAATTTTATTTAAAGTAAAAAAAATTTAATTTTTAACGCCGAGTGTGTTAAAGAATGGAGCATACAATAGTTTAAGCCTGGTTTTGAGTAGAACTGGATACAGACACAAAAGGTGCCTCGATTTCTTCGATAGACGTGTACTAGAAGAGAGTACACAGAGCAGACCGATCCTTTCTTCAATTCGTCCTACAGTTCAGTGTCCCATTAGGAGAAATATTAATCTAAATACTTTCAATTTATTTCTGTCTAACAATACAGTGATTCAACATCTGAAGTATAGTGGTCATGTAACTAACTGCTGAGGAAATATGGGCCTAATTCATACTTAAATCATACCTAATTCATATTTAAGTCATATATAATTCATACTTGGTTGGTTGGTTGGTTGTTGCCTACAAATACTCATGTCCACACCTTCTATTACACTTAGGGGATACACTTTCCGAATGGGTCCCCTTTTCCTTATGATAAATTACTTTGGATACATTTTTAGTGGCCTCTTATTACTCTCTTCACTGATCTGTCTAAATTCAGAAACTAGTTTCAATTGTTGCCTGCAAATACTCATGTTTATACCATCTATCACATTTGGGGGTGACACTTCCTGAATAGGTACTCATTTCCTTATCATAAAATGCGTTTAGTACATTTTAAGGGGCCACTTATTTCACTCTTCATTGATCTATTAAAATTCAGAAGCTTGTTTTAATTGTTTACACTTCCCGAATGGGTCTTCTTTTCTTAACATAAAATACTTTGAGTACATTTAACACTTCCCGAATGGATCCTCTTTTCCTTATAATATAATACTTTTACTACATTTTTAAGGGCATCTTATTTCACTCTTCACTGATCTATCTAAATTCAGAAGCTGGTTTTAATTGTTTACACTTCCCGAATGGGTCCTATTTTCCTTATCATAAAATACTTTGAGTACATTTTTAGGGGTTTCTTCTTTTCCTCTCCACTTCGCTACACGGATTGAATGTGTTAATTAGCAGTTAATCATTAACTCTTAAGTATTTATAATTGGTGTTCTGTACTTTATAAATACAAAATTACATATTTAAAGCATTGTGCATAATTGCTAATAAGTGTCAGTATATGAGCAGAGCTTTTCTTGTAATTTTTTTTAATAATTTTGCATATTAACGCTTAATTACCAGCAATTACATTCTGCATGGTTAAGGGCATTAATGCTGGCAATCAGGCAAACGGGCAATCGGGCAATCTGCAATCAGTGGAGTCAATACTCCATACTGCATACGGTAGCTTAATGCATACAATTGTGTTTATTATGCAAATAATTACAACAATTGTAACAATTGTTAATCGGGGAATTAAGTGGAACTCCGGCGATACGCGTGGCGTAGATAATTTGCATAAGAATCGAAAGTAAAATCTGTACTCGTATTTAGTAGATTGCAGTTATATATATTTTTTTGTATTTTTTCATTTATTAATGAAATAAAATCAAATAAAATTAAAGTTGCGCAGGGTATGGGAAAACAGACTGCGTAGTCTGTATTGCAGCCTATGTGCAAAGTAAGGGGTGTATTGGGTGAAAAAGTACTTAATTTGTAAATAGCTTTAAAACACTTTAAATCATTTTGTATACAAAACATTACCAAGGTAACTAACTTCTATTGTGAATGGAGTATTTTTTTTTTTTTTTTTGGTACTTGCAGAACTAAGTATTTTTGTATTTAGTATAATATTTTTCAAGGGTAGGAGGGGTGAGAACAATTAAAAATCAAAATAAAGCAAATAATAATATAAAGCACATAAAGAAAGGTCTAAGCATACGAGTTCCTCGCATGGGAGAATAACGACGCCTGGTAAATTTGTTTGCATTCGAGTGCGGAATGAGCATTAAATTACGATTTTCCAAATGATTAAATTCGGTTTTCGTAATGGTGTCACTATTTTTATTAACTCTACTGAAAAACTGATGTCAATGCGGTATGTTTTCTTTTTTTTCTTCTCTGCTGTTGTTGTTGGGTATGCAGTCACATGCGTTAATACATGAAAGACTGGGTTGGTATGAAAACGTTTATTTTTTACCTAATTAGGGTTGCTAGAAGCATTTTTCAATACACAATTTCAAAAATTTTATTGCTTTTTTTTTTTTTCGTAAGCTATTATCTCTTCAGCACTTCAGATTGATACTCTTTGAATTGTTGGCGCATTAACAAGAGACGAGCACAAAGGAATAATGTTAAATTGTTTGCTTGTTGACAGTTAATCTTGACCTAACATTGCTCGGATTTAAGGTACTCAATAAAAGCGTATGTGAAAAAATACCCTTTATTTTTAAAAAAGCCGAAAAAGCATAAAATTAAATTTCTCAACAGATTTGTATTCACTCGTATTCACTTACACACACTCAATCAAATCACAAATCTAGCAAATTTGTTAAATAAAAACGATTTTTGTTATCTTAATTGGTCATTGATCATATCTAGTGGAACTAAATTGGTGTAGAAAGAAAAAAATTCACGAGTGGATATACCAATACGTATAAGTGAAAGAAAACGTGGCACACTTTACGGCGAATTGCACTGCTTAGTAACATTTTTAATACAAGACTAAGCGTTCAGTTCCAGTGGTGAGTGGTGTTTGCATATTGAACGACCATTGAGAATGTAACATATCTCGCGTTGTTGCGTGTCCTGTGTATTCAGCTTGTCTGCTTGTCAGTTTAATATCTCTGTCAGTACAAACAAAATCATAATATTAACAACATCAACAAGGCAATTATTTTCGGATTTAATACACTTGGAGGGACACAATTTTTGCCATATATGTAGCTACCCTATGGGCAAGGATATGTGCAATAGAATATTAATAGTACGTTACTTTGTTGGGTTCTGTTGGTTTAGTTGTTTCAAAAGCCGTGAGTTTTTTAAAAGCTGCTCACATATCAATAAATTCGACATTTCGAACATATTTTAATCTGAATTTTATTTACTTGAATGATATAAGTTGTACAAAATATGAAAAAAAAATATTTAACGGATTATACTTTAAGTTAAGTGTAGTCCTTTTTTTCGATTTTTAACTTACGTTTTGGTAAAAGAAACTAAATACTTAATATAAACTATTGTTTTCAATAAAGAAGTTTTAGCGAACAATAGTGAATTGCAACAGCAAGAATTTTTATTATTATATTTTTTATTAATTAAACCACTAATGATAGGTATTTGGCAATATATGTAACAGCTCTATGGTCAGCCAAACATGCAATTCTTATATAAAATTATTTCAATTAATTAATCAATTAAATAATAGTTAAAAAATTCTTATTTTGCACTATTACTATCATACTATGTTGATGTTATTTGCACCTTATCCTAAAAATTTACTGAGCTCCCTTCATAGACTTAGAGTAAATCTACAAAATTTAAGTTAGCTTCTTTAGCTTCTTTACCCATTTGCAAAGAAGAGGAGAATAAAGCACAGCTATACTAGAATAATACCCCAGCGCTATCATAATCAAATTCACTTATAGAAACTTTTAACCAAACTATTTCAAAGGCTTAAGCTATCACATTCAATATCGATTATAAGGACATTCAACCTAACGATTTCAATGATTTATGAATTGTATGAACTCAGAAAAAATAAATTACTCATAACAGAAATTTTGGCATCGCAACGTAGTTTCAACTATCACTATAAGGAGAGCTGAACTTTAGGGTTTAATCTTAGGAGTAATTAAACCTTTGGATTTAACTGTACTGAGAACTAACTCTAATGAAACACGTAGGTTTTGCAGGTTAGAGTATGTAACCTCAAAAGACGTGCTGGAAACTCATTTAACATTGGTTTATAAAAGAAAGAATTATTTAGTTAAGTATCTTACATCGGATTGAGAAATAATTGTGGGTTCAATAACACAATTTAAGGATAAAATTAAACTTTGAGAAATAAATAGAAATCATGAAGAGACCTCACGAAGGATCTTATGAAGGGATCTCGCACAATAGATCTCTAGGTCGAATTGCAAAATCTTTTAACATAATAATAATAAAAGTAAAAATACCAAACAAGTATTTTATTTAAATTTATTAAATATTAATTAACATTTTATTGAATTAGTAATTTTAACTGTGAAGTAATTCAAAATATGTCAGAAATATTACATAGATTTTACAAAGTGTGCGTGGTGTTAGATATAGTTTGCAAAGATTTAATAAAAAAGTATGTTTTTAGTAAAATTATAGAGTTACTGATAGAGGGTAGAAAAGAAAAACAGTAGAAGAGTAGAAATGCATATATCTAGGAGATATCCTTATCGCCCAGTAGAGCATAGGGCCTCTACCAGAAGAGAGGTATAAGTGAAGGTTAAATGTATTACCAGAACAATATTGTGCCTTTTTTGTACAAGTTGAGTATGAAAACAAATTCTTGTTCCATAAAGTGTAAATACACCAAATAAGAAATTTATTTATCCGCTACAAATATGGACCTGAGTTTATGTGTTATGTCTAGTTCACTAGTTCAATATTTCGTAAAAATTTTTTGGGTTATGTTTTTAAATTTGTTTTGTCTGTCATTAAATCTTCCGAACTATTCTGCAAAATTTAACTTTCAGTATCTTATGAGCACAATTGAGTCCTTAAAAAGTCCTTAAACTTTTTCACAAATTTTGATTTTGCTAGTCATTATATGTGCATTTATACAATATTTATGTGAACTATGAATAATTTTCTTATTAATGTTTGAATTTATTTAAAGTCTAACAAAATATTATCATAATTAAAATGATCTAAAACACTATTTCGATTATAATTTCAACTGTTATCATATAACATAAAAATGTTATATATATATAAATATATTATTTCTACAACCACTTACCTCTCTTACTTCTTCTACGAATGCTTATATTTCATTGTTTCAGATTTAATTGCTTACAATTTATTTGATCGTACATGTGTGATAAATCTAAAAAAGGACATCCTTTAAATTCTCTTTATTCATATTTCCAGCTTGTTTCAGTAATTACAATATAAACTGCATTTAAGCTTTTATCTTATTCACAAATAAAAGAAAGCATTTAAATAGATAATTGTGCTGTGAAAATTTTTCTCTCATACTCTACACGGAGAAAAAGTTTCACAATGAATGACTGGTATCAACATAATTGTCCTTGTAACAATTAAATTTAGCATCTAATGTTATACCCACACTTATATATTCCTACCGAGATTAATGTCTGTCAGTGCCATCCGTGTAAGCTCAAAAGATTCGTAATTGTTGTTATCTGAGTTTTCATGCCTATGAGGCAGCAACAAAATTGTCAACAACATCAATTTGTACAATTATTAACAGGAAATCATTACTAATTTCTGCTCGCACTGTTGCATGTATTGTTGTCAACAAACAAGCATCAATACAGGGTGCTTGCATAATAATATAACAACTTGAACTTATATGCAAATTACTGTTGAAAGTATACTACAGCATAATATATTTACAACAAAATATTTAACATTATAAACAAGGAGTTTTCTTACATCTAATGCAATTTAGTTAAAATTCTCTTTATACCCTTTATAGAAATCAACTTACAAACAATTAATTTTCTTAATAACCCAGTGTAGTTTAGTCCCTTTCTTTCCAAAATGTACTTGCTAACTACACATTTCCTTACAGACTACATACAAAAATGTTGTCTTCAAATTGCTCCTGTCACTGACACATGTAAACGGAAATGTTTTTCGTTACACCCACACAGCACTACACACTAAATACCAACAACAACAACAACAACAACAGTCCTATCAAAGTATCTCAGTTTTACATACCAGAGATTGCCAATTTGAAGCTACTTACACATTGGCTTTTAAATTGCACTGATAGGATTAGTAACATGAATTTCTGTAACCCTTTTCTTCGAAGTTGGAAAACAACGTTCCCTGATGAAAATAGCCTTCCTAAATTGACAAATGTAACAAATTGATTGTGCATCCCCAGGTAAACAACAAAATTTGTGTACCATTTCATACTGCTTTTCTTTCTCTACATTTCGTGTACCCAACCAGTACTACTTTCGTTCCCCAATAGTTCCATACCTTCATAATACCTTAGACAATTGATTTGAATTCGCTTGAAGTGGAGTTTCGACACAGTCGAAGTACTGCAAATTGCATTTAATAATTGTGTGCGTGCTTATATATTTACGTATTTCTGTGTGTCCTTAACAGCCCCCACCTTCGTAGTCTCGCATATTGCCTGCCTGGTGTCAAAAGTGCATTTCTTTATTGTTCTTCTGTATTGGTTGGGTGGTAATTGAAGCTGGTGCTGGTATTGGTGTTCAGAGAAACTTACTTCCGATTGGATTCTATTGTCTGTTGTTGGCTTAGGGTTATTATCAGGGCACCCACTGACAGTTCATATGAACTTGGAACAAAAACTGTGGAAACATTCAGTAGCTTATTTGGTTGTTATACGTTTTATAATTGGACGTCACAATTATTTATCTAGCTGTGTAGCTAATCTGAATTTAAATCAATTTTAGATTTTTATTTTTTTTCTATATTTAATAACTTATATTTATATTTTTTTGTTTTAGGTGTGGTTTCAAAATCGTCGCGCTAAATGGAGAAAACGTGAGAAATTTATGAATCAGGACAAGAATGGCTATCTACTTCCGGATCAAGGTTAGTATCTAGTTGAAATTAGTTTTTGTATTGCACAAAGGTGACGTTCAAAATTTTATGAAGTTTTTAATCACCATTATCTTTTTATAATATTTACTGTATATAATCAACTAAATTGTATTTACGAACTGCCTTTACTGTGCTTTTTGAATACGCCATTGACTATAGCGTTTTGATCTGTACCATTAAGTAAAAAAGAAGTTGACTTAGTTACATGATTGGTTATAGTAACCCTTTATCGGGTTTTGGTTCTTCTTTCCAATTGCCTCTATGGTACTGCATACGCATCTTCTCCTAGTATTGGGTTTCGATACTCATCTTCAAGTGCTTCTGTGGTGTTACATGTACACCTTCTCCTTTTATTGGGTTTAGATAATACTTTTCAAGTGCCTGTATAGTACTGCATGTGCACCTTCTCCAGTCTCGTACAACAAGCGCGGTTAATGCTCCCTGAACTTGATTACTCTGCCGGTCCACCTCTACACATTTTTCTTTTTACTTCAAATACATTGTGACCGAAAAGTTTTCGGAAATTCTCATTTAAAATTCGCGCGCTGTATATTTTTCGATATTTTAAGTTTATGTAGTTTGGCAGCACTGTCCTTAATTACTATGAGCGCGATCTGTCAGACAGTTCGTTTACGGCAGCTGTTGAAACCAGTTCACCTCAGTAGTGCGTTGCGAAAAAAACAATGGAAAAAAATATTGAACAAAGAGTTTGCATCAAATTTTGTTTTTCGAACGAAATTTCGTGTGCAGAATCGTTGCGAATGCTACAAAAGGCTTATGGGGAATCAGTTTTATCGAAAACTCAAGTTTATGAGTGGTACAAAGCCTTTCAGGACTGTCGTACGACCGTCGAAGACATGCCGCGTTCTGGACGACCTTCGACCTCTACCACCGACGAAAACATTGAAAAGGCAAAGGAAATCGTGTTCAAAAATCCTCATGTGAGTGTTAGAGAGATAGCACGAGAGCTAGGCATCGGTCGTGAGATGGCTCGTTTGATTTTGGTGGACAATTTGTGTATGCGACGTGTCAACGCCCGGCTTGTTCCGATTCACCTCAATTTGTTCAACATTATCAACGATTTTAAGGCCAAACATTCAATAAATACCATCGAACAGCCACCGTATTCACCTGATCTTGCACCGTGTGACTTTTTCCTGTTTCCCAACCTCAAATTACCACTCAGAGGAACGCGTTTTGAATCCATAGAAGACGTAAAACAGAATTCGCAGAGGGAACTCAAAGCCATACCGGAAAGCGCCTATAAAAAATGTTTTGATGATTGGAAGAAACGTTGGCATTTGTGTATCGCTTCTAATGGATGCATATTTTGAAGGAGATAAAATAAATATTGATGAAGATTAAGAATTTTGCGTTTTATTTAAAATTTCCCGAAAACTTTTCGGTCACAATGTATCTCACTTCACTAGAGCATTGTCTTTCATTCTCACGACAAACCAGCCAGCGAAGCTGCTGGATATTAATTCACTGAATAATACAATGTCTTGATAAAGTTAATGCAGATCGTAGTTTATTCGGATGCGGTAGTCCTCCTCTCATAGAGGACCAACGATCTTACGCAATATTGTTTTCTCGAAAACTCTTATCGCTGTTTCATCATACTATGATAACGTCCATACTTCTGGACGATACAAAAACGCAGTTAGGAAAAAATACGTATGAAATACTTTTTCCTAGAAAAATTCTAGCGCTTTCTCATCATACCGTGATTACCACCTTGCTATTGGATCATACAAAAAGGCAAATGGGATGTGCGATTTGTTGAGCGTAAGTTTTGTCGTTCGAGAGAGTGCTCTACATACCAATTGCCTATTGAACCCTATTACCTATTGTTTACAGTATTTTTCTTGTTTTCATGGTAACATCATTCTTGTTCGTTGCGGTAGTGCCAAGGTAAATAAAATTCTTAACAGCTTTGAAAGTATAGTCGCCACTCAACTACCTAATACGTTTATTATAGATAAATTAAAAAACCAATTAGTTATCTTATCCGATCATGTAACTCGCAGTATCTAATAGAGACTTAACTGAGGTTACATGTATTCAATTATTTGGAGTCCAATTTATCTTAATTAAACAACTTTGTATCTTTTATAGAGCTCTATGGAAGATTACTAATTTTTTTTTGTATTTAAAGTAAAAATTTAAATTTAAAATCAGCTTTATATATATAAATATATATATAAATACTCCACAACAGTTAGTTTGTTTTATTTTGAAAAATACAAATGCAACTATTCTGAACCACTCAAAATATGTAATTAAATTTTCACAAAGAATTATTTCAACCCTTGAAGTTAGCACCTGCCGGGAATTATTTCCACAAAATAGTCACATTTTCATTAAACCTTGTACCAATTTGTTATACAAGTGAATTATATCATTTGATATGCCAACTATAAATTAATTTTTATTAAATTTTATTACAGTTAATGTAATTTTAATTATCACAAATCGTTAAGGTAAACCTAGCAACTTATCTTTAATCAGTGCTAGGTTCAGTGAATTCAGTTCTATATAATTGGCATATGACGTGTAAACACAAATTAGAGTTTTGTATTTTAGAAGCATAACAGACTTCATATAAATTATTCTAAACTTAATTTATTTATTCTTTAATAACTTAATAATTTCATTTTTATTTTTTTACAGGTTTACCGGAATTTCCCTTAGGCATACCTATACCCCATGGTATACCAGGACATCCAGCTGGTTTGCCGACAGAGTTTTGGCCACCACATTTTGCCTTACATCAACATTTCAATCCTGCTCTGTTACCACAAAATCTAATGCCACACTATAAGCTGCCTAATTTCCACACATTGCTCTCACAATACATGGGTTTAAGTAATCTAAATGGTATTTTCGGTGGATATCCGCAAAATCTTTCAATGCATACAGCAGCACAAGTTAGTCCACCCTGCAGTAATAGTCCTCGTGAAAGTCCACCGATTATACCCGGCGGTACAACTGTCGTTTCCGGTGGTGTTACTCTGTCTTCCTCTGCAGCTGCTTCTCCAAAGAGTCCACTGACCACTGTAAGTGCTGCTTCGACGCCCGTTTCAGTTGTGACGAAAAGTGAAGATTGAACTCGACTTACTGATATTTTTAGTATTAGTTGAATTTTATGATTATGTATGCGATATTGTGTAGAATATTTGTAGGGTAAATGCAAATCATCAAGTCGGAGAACTCTTAAGTGAACGAAGAAGTAGAGAATAACTGAGTTATGCAAAATGTGTATAAAGTGATATAAAATAATAATTTTTTGTAAATTCTAAAAACAATTTGTTTAAATTTTTACAATATTAGATATTTTTTATTTTAATGTATTTTTAATATAAAATTTGTATTTATATAGAAATTATATGAAAATTGTATATATATTTTAATTTAAGAACAATAACAATTATTCAATTGCCAAATATTATTAAATTAGATGCAGTAATAATATATATATATATATAACATATACATACATATATAGTATTATGTATTTGTAAACTTAATATAAGTTGAGTATTGTACAATATATCTATGGGCGATAAGCAGTATTAAATCAAACAGGAAAAAATTATTATAATAAAATGAATGATTTACACAAATTTAAAAAATATTTTTTAATTTTTATTATTAAAATAGTATATTGGATATTATTCATTGAAATTACTTAAAAACATATAGAATCTTCTTTTTATGTATAGGCTTTAACAGAGATTGCTCATTATCAGAATTCAACGGACCTCTTATTACAGTGGATCATCGAAGTGTTCACAGACACTATTGAATAAAAGCGCTTTAGAGACGAATTCGTGTTTCATTAAGCCAATAAAAAGATAGAATGAAAAAGATATAGAATATAATAGAAAAAGATAGAAAAAGAGATAAAAATAAAAAGACGCATAGATTACTTATCCAGAATTCAATTAAAGTTAACAACCCACAAAGGCCTCAAACATAATCTAATCATAGCCACGAATCACCCTAATCATTACCTATTTATAGGTACCTATTTATGATTAGACCTATTTATAGGTAATGATTTGAATATTTTTAAATCTTTCCAACTTCTAGTTATAAATTCAACACTTAAAATCTCAGTTTTACCACTAACTGCAATTACTATTTACAGCCATTGACAGCTGGGATAAGTCAGGGCTGCCAGCGGTATCACAAGATTTTTTACCTGTGATCCCAGATAGCAAACCTAATGAAGAAAGAACTAAATATGCACTTCTATTTTTAGTTCAGAAATACTATTTCTTTTTAATTTTAATAAATTCGTAACAAAATTCAAAATAATTTAGCTATTTTGGTAAGATTGGTGTTCAGGATTGGGCTAAACCGTATCTTGAGCCGTTACCGATTAATCTACGTCTAATGAAAAGTCCGTGTTATCGATTTTTCCACATGGAGAGTATTTGGCTAAATGAAGAGTATTTGAAGTTTCCGATTGAGCCCCGACGAAAAAAAAAGAATAATTACCGATTGGACCACGTTAAATGAAAATAATACTAGTATTGGAGTAAACTAGTAATCCAGTTCTTGCGTTGTTGTTCTCAGCTTGCTGTTTTCGATTGTAATAGTTTGCAATACTATCGTTCCTTGCACTGAAGACTTAAAGTCCTGCACTTGATTAATACTAACATGCTTTGAAATCTTCCATAAACACTACTTCTTTAAATATTGGGTTTGTGATGTGAGTTATATATTTTCATTATTATAGGTTTCCTCTACCATCTTTCTTTCTATTTTATGTGTTGTTCTAGCATAGGAACACATATACTAAGAGAGTAAAAAATAATCTTACTTCCATAACATATCGTGTTATTCGAAAGGGGAACCTCCTTATATAGGAACACAAACAAATGGGTAAAAAAATATTTTGTCTTATATATATTTAGTGCTTACTGTAAAAAAATATTACTAGCAAAATATATTAAATTACTGAAATGGGCACCCTTACTAAAGCATCGATCATTTTAATAGTTTTAAGCTAAAAGTAACTCTCTTCGCTTAATCAATTTTTTTTAAACTATATTTATTGTACAGCATGCTGAAAAGTTTTGAAGTATTTCGTAGTCTATTAGTAATTCTATCTGATCTATACTTATTCGAACCTTGTTCAGAGAAATCTATAGACCTTATTAACTTTCGAATGTATTCTTAAAGGCATAATCTACTATTTAAATTTTTAGAGTACAGTTCTTAACAGCTATATAGAAGAGAAGGAGTCAGATCGAATTGGATAAGTTTATCTGATATAAATAGTACTGGAATAGTGAAAAAAAGTTTTATAATTCTATTGATTTTGAAAGTATCCTTATCTTACACAATGATTTCTGCATATTTTTTAATTACTCTTTACAGTTTTCATCGATTCCAGAGTTTTTATATCAGTTAGCTAAAATCAAAATTGGTTTTTTGTGGATCTATATAGCAGGGTACGAAGGACAGAAGTTTGTTACAAGTCATTTACGACGTTTTAGATTTTTGTAGAAAATTGAAGTCACATCAGAGTGAAGTCTCATTCTCTCAATCTTTATTAAAATATTCTTCAAAATGTTAGTATCCTTCAACTTGTTTCTTATCTTACTGTACTTTTAAAAGAAGTCTGTATTGATTTTTTAGTATTCAAAACTAAAAGTCGAAATTCTGTTGTGAGATATTTTCAATTTTTTGACAAGAAAAATAGAATAATAATATAAATAAGAAACATTAAAATAAAAATAAAAATTTTCTACATTATGTGATACTATTTCGATTGGTAAGAACATAATAATGCCCAATTGTTAATAATTTTGTAAGTGAAATAAAATAAAATCAAAAATCAAACGTGAGGACCCTTGAAAACAGTAACAATAAAATAAATTTCAATACTAAGCAATTCCTTGTGACAGCTTAGAGTTGATTTTGAAGGATGAAGGATGTTTTCAAATTCCGGTTCTATGTTGCTTCATACAAAACGTATCTTTGAAATTTTTTTCTTCCTCTAACAAAATAATTTTTAATTCCGCGTTTTAGTTTACTTTTGATGTGTTGAGATTTTTAACGAACTCTACCTAATATCCTTCAAAAGGAATAAGTGAAAATCTCACAAGGGTATGTGTCCGCATTGTGTCTATTTTTTTTATCGTGTTTACACCACTTTTCAGTATTGATATCCTGTAATTATAAGGCATTACGTGTAATTATGGTTCATTATTACTTCTAATATGTTGCAATATCTTAAGAGGCAAGTGCACTGCGGGATATCTGCAGCTTTAGTAAACGGTTCCGAAGATTGCAAACATTTTTTTATTAATGTTTTGTGAAGAGCCTTAAAGATTGATTGAGAAGGAAACTATCGAAAAGCGGTTGGCAATGAAACTTGATTTTACTTGTAATATATTTTTCTCAATGTAATTTACAAGTAGGGCTATTCAAGTTCGAGAACTACTTATTAAAAAAAAGCTATTGTTCGATTATACCTGAATTGATTTTCTATGTGATTAAATTAATTTGTCTTAAGCAAGGAAATATTTTGTTTCTGTGAAGGGCAGAATAACACTTTACCTTGATTTATTTCGAAAATTTTTAATTATTATTTTTTGATAAAATTTGATAATATTTTTTTAATAAATAAGTAAAACTCTAATAAAATTTAGAGTAGACCGTGTATTTTATATTGCAACTGAAAATGTGAGATATATATTATGAGAACAACAAAGTAATCCAAAGCGTGATGTAAATATTACACAGATAAAGAAAGGATGTCAATGAACTTTTACTAGTTAATACAATTTTCATATTAAACTGTTTTCGGTTAAAAAGCAAAAATCATGGAGTTATAAAGTGTAAAAGTGTGATCCGCACTTTTATTCCATAGTGTCTGTGATCATTCGCATGATCTATTATAATAAAAGCTCATTTGATTTCTGATAATAAGTTATACAGATGATTTTATTATAGTATACTGTGAAACCCAGCATATCATCCTGACGGATGCATTCTATTTGACAAAGAGTTCATAATAAAACTTTGGATACCACATACATAAGTTATATTCCGAATACCTTACCGATTTGTGTGGATTAATCTTTTTATACGACTGCCTGTAACTTTATCAATTTGTATAAATATCGGCGAATTAATCTACAGGCTTTGAGCAAATCAAAATCTAAGCAAATTAAAAATTGAATAATATTTGTTTTCTTTGCAGATTGGTTCAATTTAAGTATACCTATATAGAAATTTTTACGCCCAAAAAAACGAATTAGTAATTGCTTTCCTAGCTCTTTGTAACTATAGAAGTATTTGGTTTTTACTTGGATATGACAGGGTAGTAAATCAAAGTCTTATTTTATGTGCTTGGACAGATCTTATTATTTATACCGTTCAAGCATAAAAAAAAGATTTGGTGCATAAGACAAAGATGTGTCAAATCAGTGAACAATGCCAGGCAGCATTAGGTTCAATTAATTACCTAGGCCTTACTTTTAAAAAAAAGTATATTTGATGTCATCCCATTAATGCAAAACAATATTTGTATATAAACCTTAAATAAGCTTTAACCACTCTCAACCTGAACAAGCTAGAAAAATAAAATCCCTTTCTATAAGCTAGTCAGCAGTCCATCGTTGCTGTATGGTTGCTTTGAGTAGAGCAGTTAAAGATTCACTTCAAGAACTCCAAATAATCCAAACCATCATCTAATATAAGGTATATTTAAAACTCCCTATTGTATCTGATATTTTCATATACATAGAGACCTTTTTATTGACACTATGACCAATAATTCCTATTAAGTTTAGGGCGTCTAAACTATCCAATAAAATAAATGATTATTTTAATAGTTCTTTAGGTCAGATAAGAAGAATTCAAGCGATGAAAGGAAGATTTTCAGATAAATATACTGTCATACTAGAAAAAGGAGTTTTACAATAAAGTAATATAGAGTATATTACTTATAAAGTTATACTTTAGATATACTCGTATATTTGTATATAAATAAAGTAATATAGTTTGTAAAATTTTTCCGATACAGATTATATGATATGCACCCAGAGGAAGGGCTGTCTATGGTAGCTTATATCAATTCCATAAGCTGACAATTCAACTGAACACGATTGCGATCAATTTTGATCAAATTTTGATTGAATAGATATTATTAACGTATCTATTGGACTATTATTATTATTGGACTATTCTGACTTAAGTCAGAAGGGCCGGAACTAATTAATATAAATGGTGAAGTATGCTACT